CTATATGTATATTTAGAATTAAGAACTTTTTTTTTGTTAGAGAAAAAATTAAATTTAAATAAATTGAAGAATATATTAAAACTACATATTTAAATAATAATAAATACTAGAATAAATAAATATATATAAAACTAAAACATTATCAATAATTGTGATTTTGCAAATATTTTTCATTTAGAAAATTCTTCTATGTAAAGATAAATTACCTTTACTTGCTGATTAATGTAAAAATATTAAATTTAAGATGTTACTCAATACTAAAAATTATAGAATAAATTTTATAAATTTTAATAAAATTGAATTAAGTAATTTAATTATAATTGTTATTCGTAAATTATCTAATAATAATTAAGTAATTGAAATTCTGTTAATTTATATTAATAGTTAATAAAAAATTGATATTAATAGTTAGGACAGAATTAATATATTAATCGTTATAATTAATATAAATAATTCTATTTTCTAATTAAAAATTAATGATATTTTTCAGATGATTAATATAAATTTTTTAATTGAAAGAAAATAAATTAACCAAGTTTCGATAAAATATTTATTGTCAATAGTATATTTATGATAAAAATAAATTTTTTGATGACATTTTCTAATGAATAAATGTATAATTTTTTTTAATATATTTTTTAACTATTTTATTTATATGTAAATAAGCGAATTAACTAATAACTTTTATATATATAAAATTATATTAAAGATAGAAATATATAATTATTCGTATTAATATATATTAATTAGTTATATTCAATATTCATAATTTATGTAAGTTTAATATATAATTTAAAATCTATTATTTTTTATTTTATTTTTTTGAGATTATTAAGATAATGGATTTTATCATTATTAGCTATTAATTTTGTTTATTTAATTTAACTAAACCTATTTTTATTAATTTATAAATTTTAAGCTACTCTTACTTATATAAAATATTTTCTTTTTTATTATTTTTTTAAATTATTTTTACCATATTTTTTTTTTAAAAAAAATCTATCTAAAAAAAATAAGACTATAAAAAATTAATAATTTGTTTTTTGTTTTTTTGCCAATCATGTTTTTTATAGAAAATATTAAAAATGCAATTTGAATATATATATTATTTTTGCTAAAAAAAATATTTTACAATTTGTATTTTTATAAATTCGAAATTTCATCTACTTTTAAAAAATAATTAATTATTCTGATTTCTAAACTTTAAATAAAATAAATTTTATTATTTTTAATTATTTAACGAAGAATTATTTATATTTTCTACTTTTTTTTGCATTAATATTTTTGTATAATATTAAAAATGCTAAAATAAAAAAAAAATATTTATTAAAATATATAACAAAATATATATTAATTAAAAAGATGCTCTACAAATAAAATAATATTAAAAATTATTAAATAATATAAAATAAAACTAATTTTTTAGCATAATTATGTCATGCATAATGCCGAAAAATAATTTTATAGAATAAACTAAAGTAATAAAATGAATAAAAACATTAACAAAATTAGCAAGATCATCTTGATATGACTTAAATGCTTTAAATTTATAAAAAAAGATTTTAAAGTGTACTATTAATAATAGAAATACGAAAAGAAATTTAACAAACTTTATAATAAAACGAAAAAATAAATATAAAATTATATTATGATAAATACAATTAATTATTAAAAAATGAAAGATAATTACTTTAAATAGAAGATAGTATTTTAAAGAAATATTTTTAAATTTAAACTGATTTTAATTAATTCAAAAGCTTAATATTTAATTTAATTAATGAAATTATATAAGAAAATTAATTTTTATAATAAAAATTTTTAAAAATCGACTTTTTATTTGATGAAAGTAAAACATTTAAAAACTTAGATAATTAATTTAAGGAATAGGTTTTATAAATATTATAAACACAAAATATTAAATTAACTTAAATACTGCTTTTTTTACTTTAATTTTCGAAAAATAATTATCATATATAAAAGAAGAAACTCGAGGATTAACTTTTATAAATAGATTTTTAACAGAAATAATAAAATAAATAAAAAATTATAAATAATAATATTAAGTCAAATAATAATAATAATGATGATAAAAATAATATAAATAATAATAATAATAATAATAATAATTTTAATAATAATAATAATAATAGGGAATAAAAAATACTTAAAAATAATAATTAAGTAAAAAAACTTGATTTAAAGAAATTAAATGATATTTAATAAAATAATATTGGGAGCTTTTAAAATACTGCTAAAAAAAAATTAATTTTTGTTAAAATTTAAAATAAAAATGATTACTTATTTGATTTTAAAACATATAGATATAATTAAGATAAAATAAATAAAAATCTTAATAATAATTATATTGTAAATAATACTTTTTAATAGTTTAATAATTCCATGAGTATGATTTAATAAGAAGAAAACGAAAAAATGTATTTTAATTTGCTTAAATAAAATAAAAGTATTCAATAAACTATTTAAAATTATTAAACTTAATTCGATTTTTTTAAATAAAGTTAAAAAAACACTATACCAAGCCTTTTTAAATATTAAATTATTAAAAATGAAAATTAGGATAATAATAAATGCTTAAATAAAGCTTCCTTTAATAATTTTATGGAATAAAGATAAGATTAGATTAATACAAATTAGAGAATAATTAAAAATAATAATAATAAATTTTTTTATAGAAACATTATTTTAGCTAAAAAAAATAGATTTAAATATAGAAATTTCGAATATTCAGATAATTCAGAAAGTAATAAAAGCTCATATTTGAGTAAATAAAAAAACTAGCATTTCTCTTATTATAATAATTAAGGTTGACTTTATTTTTTATATTCCATAAGTTTTGTATATATTTATTTAAAATATTTTTTAGAATGTTATTTTTAATTTCATTTATTCATTTTTTTTTTTTAAATATTATTATTTGTAAAAAAAATATTATTTTATTTTATTTTATTTATTTAATTTTTTTTTTTTTACTAAAAATTACTTAGTTTATTATATATATTTTAGCTTAAATATCATTATTAAAATAAGATTGTTTATTTATTATAAACTCAAAAAAAAAATATATAATTATAAATATTAATAAAAATAAAAAATGAAAAACTTTAATTATTAATAAAGATCAACTATATAATAATAATATAAAGAAAAGGAATTATAATTAAACTTATTAGAAGAAACAAATTACTATTAAATAGCAAAATAACTAGAGCTAAAAGAAAAAAATCTTTAAAAAGCTGCATTATGCTATTAAAAATGTCTTGAATTAAATCTAAAAAGAGATAGTGCAATAAAGGATTTAGCTACTGTATATCATAAATAAGGAAAAACACAATAAGCTTTAGATCTACTTTTAAGAGAAAAAGAAAATTATTAAGGATTTATGAAACCTTATGATAACCTTATTGGTGCTTTAAAGAAACAATTAGTACCAACAGGAAAAGTTTATTTAAAATATATACTTTTATATAATATGAAAAATTAGCTAATAAATTATAGTGATATAACACAAATTTTTCCCAAAAGCAAAAGTTTATTTTTTTATTATTTGAAAAAAAAAAATTATAATATTTTTTTTTGCTTTTTAGAAATCTAAAAAATATATTACTTTAAAGATATTTCGTTATGTTAAATTTCTAGTTTAGCAACAGAATTTTGTTTGTTAGAATTTAAAAGTTACTCTAATGCTAAAAAAGTTATAGAAAGTTGTTTTTTAAACAGTTCCATGTCAATAAAAGTTTTAATTATTTTTTAATTTTATATATAATTTTTATTACTGATTTTAAATTTTTTTGTTTTTTAAAAAAGGCTTTCTTAGTAGATATTGATGGAAAAATAAAAGTACATATTTAAGATAAAAATAATTTCGATAGAGAATTAATTGAATATTAAAAGTAATTTTTATTTTATATTTTAATTTTTTTTTTAATTAAAAGTCCTAATTTAAAACCTAAAATATTTTCAGAATAATTAATTTTTGTTGATTAAGAAGATTTGTTATAAAAAACAGATAATTAGGATAAAAAATATAATTGGTTATAAGATATTTTACAAAATAATTATTAGTAAAATATATGTTAAAAAAATATAAGATTATATGAAAATTAAATGATTGTTGAAAAGTGTGTTTTTTAAAATTAGTTTAATAATTTTAATTAATATTATATTGTTAATTAATTATGATGTATATTAAAAAATATATAATAAAAACTATGTAAAATAATTGAGTTATTTATATATTTTAATACATTAATATTATATATTATTATAATATATAAAATAATAAAAATATATAAATATATATATATATTTATATATATATATATATAAATTTATATATATATACATTTATTTTTTATTTACTATAATTTATTAATTTTTTAATTTTACTTTTTTACTTTATTTTAATATTTTTATTTAATTTTTCTTATATAATTTATAAATAACTTTATTTTCTTTTCTTTTTATATTTTTTTATATATAATTATATACATTTGCAAAAAAACTATTTAATAATCTTTTTAATTTTATTATAATAATTTTTATTTTGAAAACTTTTATTTTTTATTTATATTAATAATTAAATATATAAAATAATAATCTTTATATATTAAATTTATTATTAGTTTTTAAATTAATATAAAAAAATATTTATATAATTATTTTATTTTACAAAAAATATAATTAATATATTATTATACGATATTTATTGAATATTAATTTATATAGAATATAAAAAAAAATATATATATATGTTTTTTTTATTCTGATTATATATATTTATTATTTTATATTTTAATTAAATTATACAAATATAAAATATATTCAATAAAATAAAAAAAAAATTACTTTTTAAAGTATAAATAAAAGGAATTATTTTTATAAACATAAAACTTATTAATTTTTTGATAAAAAATTAAATATAATTTAATACTATATATAAATAAAATAATACATTCTAAATTTTCTTAATATATATAATATCAATAATTTTATCCTGGTGGTGGTGGAGGTGGTGGTGGTGGCGGAGCAATTTAATAATCTTAATTTTACATATTTATATTTTAAACAATATTTTACATAAATCCAGCTTTACTTATATTTTATCCAAAAATTTGATTTGGTTAGTCAAAAATTTAAGCTTATTTTTCGGATTGAAATTATTATTATTATTTTTAAGGATAAAATTAATTATTTTAAGGATATTATTAATAAAACTACTATTATTATTAATTTAAAGGTTTATTATTTTCTTAGATGCCTTAATTCTATACACTTTATAATATATTTTACATGAATCCTGCTTAAATTAAATTTTATCCGAAATTCATATTCGCTTACGGAATATTTTAAACCTAAATTGATTCCATTCTTTAGTATTAAACTTATTTTGGTTCTTCTCCTATTAATCTGAAATATTCAACTACTTAATCAGGTAATTCAGCTAGAACCTCTCTTTATAAGGCTTCAATATTATTTTTATAGGTATTAAATTCCACAAACTAAACAAGATCTCTTTCAGCTTTCCTTCCTAATTTTTATTTTTTTATAAAAAATAATGTAAATATAAATTTAAAAATACCTCTATAATCAATAAGTCCGTCATCACCATCTAAAATATGCATTTTTTCAAAATCTTAACTTCCTATTCCTATGATAATAATACTTATAGGTAATCTAGCCATATCAACAATAGTTTAGATAGTAGCATCCATATCATGAATTTCTCCATCAGTTAAGATTAGCATTATATAGTAATTTTAATAATTTTAAACTTTACTAAACTAAGCTATTTTTTAAGTTTCAGTAAGAAGAGGATTAAACAATGTTGGACCTGAAAATTCCAAAAACTTTAAAACTTATTAATAGCAATTCAAAATTCCATTCATTCCATGAACATCAGGATTTTAAGGATTTCCATTTAGAGGGAAACAATGCATAGTTTAATTATAATAAAAATTAGGTAATTTTGGTTTAGCTCCTATATTATTAAATTATAAGTTAATAAAAAATATATAATTTCTTATTTTAAAAATAAAATAAAATACCAAATCCATACATAGGTATTTATTAATCTGCATCATAATTAAGAAGAATATCACCTACAAGCTTTATAGCTTATTAATATGAATTAAATTACCCATTATTTTGAATGGCATGTAAACTATCTGAAGCAGAAGGAATTCCATTCGAACCAGTAAAATCGATTGCAATAACTAAATTTAACTAAACACCTCCTCTTATAAAATCAATAAATTAAGGCTTTCTTATCAACTAAAAATTATTAAAAAAAAGAGTTCCTGCATCATTATATTTTTTATCTTTAAGCTTATATTCCTTTTTAATTTGAGCCTCATTAACACTGAATTAAGTACTTCCAATAAAATCATGTTTTCCGTTTGAATTATAATCCATACATTCAATAAGGATAGGCATATTATAATCTGCATTACATAATTTTTATGCTTTGATTTTTATATCATCGAATAAAGGCTATAAGTTGTTTTCTTTATGTTTTGTTTCTAGAACTTTTAAAGGAAAATTGTTTTCTGTAATTCTCGAAAAAACAAGAAAAGGAGATGATTTTGTCCAAAATCTCATATCCTTTATTTTCTTTCCTTATATTTTTAATATTATTTCATCATTACATTAGTTAACCTTTTCAGCTCTTATGATTATCTTTCCGCTAAATTTATCTTTTTTATCCTTTAAATCTAGTACTAATGTACAATTTTTTGATCCAACTATTTTTCCGATTGTAGTATGACAATCGCCTATAAAATCAGATGATGTAGGACTGTCATAGTCAAAAACCTCAAATTTTATTGGCTATTATTATTCGAATATATAATCTATTAAACAAGATTAAGCGAAATTCGGATTAAGATTATCCTATATAGTTTCTGTTCTAAAATAAAACAACCATTATTTTGTAGAAATGTTCTATGTATATACATTAACATATGGGTCGCTCTTTGAAAATGTGTCTTTGTTTGCTAACGAACGACATGATAAAAATAATTCAATTTTTTCTTTATCCATTTAAATATCTTTTTTTTAATAATTTATTTATTTGTATTTTATAAGTATGACAAATAAATATACATATAATTATTATTTATTATTCAAATATAATATTTTAAAAATTTTGTTATAATAATTAAATTTTATTAATATATTTATAAAATACTTCTGTAATTATAATTTTATAAATTACTTTTTTATATTAAAAAAATTATATAAAAAAAATATATAATTTTTGGCCAAATATTAAAAATAATTTTTATTTTTGAATTATTTTAAAGAAATAATTTGTTTATGTTTAATTTTTTATTATATATATTTATATAATTTTTTTCCTTAATTAATTTAATTTATATTTAAATAACTTTTAAAGTTATATAAAATTAGTTTAAATTTTATAAATATAGGAAAATGAATATAAATAGATATCTAATAAATTTATATATATATATATATATATATATATATATAAACATTTTTAATATATCTAATAAAATATATTTTTAAAATATATAAATATTTAAAGTATTATTTACAGTTCTAAATGAAAAAATATATTTAAAAGTTTTAATTAAAATTTACTTTCAATAATGTCTAAAATAATTAAGAACTTAAACATTAATATAAAAAACTTAAAGATGTTTGAACTCTTATATTATATGATTTTTAACTTATAAAATAATACTTACTCATATGTTTATTAAATGAAGGATTTTAATTAAGTTATTGCTATACGTCTTCAAAATAGTTTACATGTTATCTGAAAAATAGATAATTAAGTTAATATTAATAAGCTTAAAATCTCAGTTTGTCAAATTCTTCTTAATTATGATTATAAGTACCAATTTATGAAATTTTAAATTAAAAAATTATTTATTTCTTTTAATAAAAAAATAAAAAATCCTATACATTAATAACCTACTTTGAGTTTCTTCAATACAGTGCATTTTTGCCACTTAATGATATTTTTTAAAATCATAATACTTTTGGAATAGAAGGGATTATTTAATTTTATAAACATAGACTTAAGCCCTTGTAATTTTCAGGCCTAAATGAATTAAAATGGAAGAGACGTAAAATATTTAAATAAATAGTTTTTCTTAAATTAATCGATATTTATATAAATATTAATAATAATTTACATTCTAACATCACTTAAAATATATATATATATATATATTAAAATTTATTTTTTTATTTAATTTTTTTTTGATTTTAATAAATTTTTTGATTTTTTTTAAATAAATTAAATTTATTTACAAACTTATGTTTATAAAAATTTATTAATTATTATTTTTTTATTTTTATTTTAAAATAAAGTTAAATATTGAATATTTTAATTTAAAAAGAAAAATATACTAAAATTTATAATTAAATTATATATTTTTTTTTGTTATAATTTTTATTATTTTAAAATTAAAATATTTAATAGAATATCAACTTACGTGGATAATAATTAATTTATTTTGTCTTATTAAATAAATAAATTATCCATTATAGTAATATTTTTTTTATATATACTTTTTAAAATATTAATAATTAAATATTTTAATAAAAATATAAACAAATCACTAAAAAATAAGATAAATATATAATTAATATATATATTATTAAATATAAAAAATATGGTTTCAGCTTGGTCAATTCCATAAGCGAAAAGACAATTTTTAAAAAGTTCATGTCCTCCAGGGCCTGGATAATATAATCTAAATAAAGGATATTATTAAGTACTAAAATTAAATCCTAAATATTCGTAATTAAAATAATAACAATAAATGAATTTATAAAAAATAAAGTATTGGAAAATCAAATAGAATATTAACAAACGAAGAAACCCCTGCACCTGGTTAGTATTAATATAAACCAATTTTAGTAAAAAAAATAACTTTTATAATAAAATTAATTCACTTAAATATACTTTCTTTTAATTTAAAAAGGGCTACGAAGGTCCCAAATACCACATAGGTGAAAAAAGAAATTTAAATTTTGATGATAAAGAAAAATTAAAATAGCCTGGACCAAGTGATTATTCTCCAAATAAAATTTTAAAATAGAGTCCTAAATATTCAATATAATAAAAGCATACATTACCTACAATTATGGATAAATTAAAAGTACCAGGACCTGGCTAATATAATATAAATAAAAGCACATTAAAAGACCATACATAAGCATTGTATATATATATATATATATATATAAACTTTTATTATTTATTAAAAATAAATAATTTTAGATTAGGTTATTAAAAGAGAGATTTATTATTTGTAACAAATAAAGAATTTCCAGGGCCCGGAGATTATGAAATAAATAAAAGCAATATAATTACCCTAAAAAATCAGCCAAAATATACTATAGGAAATTAAGAAAGGAATTAATTAAGTTCTTAGAAATCTATGTTACCTGGCGTTGGTGTACAATACAAATATATATAAATATATAATTAATTATAATTTATTGTTTTATAAAAAGTAATATTCTATATAAACTTATGATAAAATAAAAGGAGGTCATATTGGAACTTATAAAAATGATAATTAAAATAATTCTAATAGCCCAGGTCCTGGAGATTATTAAGTAAAAGATATTTAAAAAAATGCAAAACATGTAATTTTTGGAAAAACATAAAGACATTTTAATGTAATAAATAATACACCAGGACCTTAATAGTATAAGTAAAATTATATTTTTTTTAATTTTTTATAATTAAATAATAGCATACGTATTGACAATTTAAGACTATAAAAAACTCCTTAATATACTTTTGGAAAATCTCCAAGAAATAAAGATAGAATTATTAATTCAGGTAGTTATACTGCCAAAAATAATAACTCAAGTTAATTTTAAAATACTAATTATGAATCAGGACCTGGTCCTTAAAGTTATAAAATTAAAGATGTTTGGAATACGAAAAAAGGAGTTTTAAAATTTTATATCTATTTTTACAAATATATAATTTTTTTTTTTAAAAAAAATAAAAAGGTTTTCATTTCTGCTAAATATGATTCAGGTGATAAAGATAAAGTGCCCGGACCTTCTGATTATAATCCGAATTATGATTTTATTAAAAATAATTAAGCAAAATATTCGTAATTTTTTTTTATTTATTTTATCTTTACTTTTTTTAATAAGAACTCCTAAATACTAAAAATAAGGATAAGTTCAACCTACACCTGGTCCTGCTGATTATATAAATTATAATGAATAGAAATTCAAAAGTCCAGGATATACTATGGGAAATGCTTAAAGAACAATAGATTTTGTGGGTAAATATTAAACTCCTGGACCAGGATAATATAATATACCTCCAAAATTTAATGAGGTGCCAAAATATTTATTACCAAATTAAAATAAATATTGATAGAGAATAATTAGAATAATTATAATAAAAAAAAAATTAAATACAAGTTTATATTATTTTTTCCATATTAATAATATATTTATTTTTTCCACTAATAAATATTAAACTTTAAAAATAAAAAAATTGATTTTATTATAATATATAAAATTATATTCAAAAAAAAAAAAAAATGATAAATAAATATAAACTTATAATTTTTCAATAAAAAATTCATTTTATTGATTTTTTACTTGGCATATTTTTATCTTCTATATTTTTCTAAGATTATTATTTAGAAATTTATTAGATATTATTTTATTATTAAATATTTTAATTTTATTATTATTATAACTATTATTTTTATTAATTTTTTTTTAATTATTCTTATTCTAATTCTTATTATTTTTGACTTTTTAATTATTCTAAATTATAATTTTATTATTATTAATTTAATTATTAAATATATAATTATTATTTATTTTATTCTAATTAATTATATTATTATTAATAATTTTACTATATATTGTTTTATTCGACAATAGTATTTTAATTTAATTTATCTTAAACAATATTACTATTTTAATTTTCAAACTAAATTTATTCTTTGCTATAATTTAAATTATTTTTATCACCTTCTTTTTTAAGGTATTTTTCTGCATACTACGAAGTTGTCAAAACCAGAGCATTTTCCAACTCTTCATAAGCAGTTTTTTATATTTATTAGGTTTATTATAAACAAGAGATAATTTTCATTTCATACTATTCCATTTATTAAATTTCCTATTTTTTTTTACTCATAATTAATTCTTCTTATTTAAGTTTAGATTCGATTTCGCTTTTAACATGTTCTTTTTTAATATCCTAAAAATTCTAAATTTTATCCTATCTTTATTTCCTTTCTTATTTAGTCAAATTCACATTTAATTTTAATTAACTTATTCTTTTTTTATTATTATATTCTATTTTCTTTAAATTCCTATTAGAATCATTTTTTATTTATTTCGCATGACTTAATTTCATTTCTGTGTACATACTGAATTTAGTTTACTTTTCTTATATACTATTTTTTCTAATTTATAGTATTTTTTGTTTTGCCTCTTATATTTATTTTACTTTTAAGTTTTTTATCTTTATAGATATAATAATATTTTTATATATACTTATTTTTTTTTATATTTTTATACATAATCTTTCTTTTCTTCATTTTTCAATTTCAAATAGTATATTTCCATTGCTTTTTTTCTTGTTTCTTCTATTTTTTTTAATGTTTTTAGTTCTTCTTATTTAAGTAATTATATTCTATTAGCTAGCATTTATTAACTTTATTCTATTTCCTATCTTTCTTTTTTTCTTTTATAATATAGATTTATAGTACTTGTATTTTATTCGATTTTTAGAAGAGTAGATAATTAAAATTAATCTATTTCTTGCTGTTTTTAGTCGAATTATTATTAATCTTAGTGATTGTTTTCTTCCTTTTTTTAGTTTTATAGTTCAGAATTTATTTATTGTTAAGAATTTTATGTTGGTGTATTTTCTATTTCTTTAATAATTGTCATTTCTTTATTATTAATTTTTTATGTTTAAGTTTGATATTTGCCTTCATAGTTTATATGTTTTTCATAACTTTAAGATTGATTTTATTATGTTTTTTTTTGAAGCTCTTATTCTGTTTTTTGTGCTTCTTTATTTTCAATTTAATTTTATTATTAAATATTTTGAATATTATTTTAATTTTGGAATTCCATATTTTTTTAATTTTTATTGTTATTTTGTAATAATTTTTAATGTTTTTTTTTATTTATTTATAAATTATTGATTTTTTTATTATATATATATAATTTCTATATTAAATTTTTTATTAATTTTATTAATATATATATTATTTTTACTTTAAAATAAATTCATTTATACTTTATCTAATTTTTTTTTTATGTGAAACAAAAAAAAAATCATAAATAAGGTCTTTTATTTAAATTATTAAAAATTAAATTAATAATAAGCATCTGCTTTTTACATATTTTATATTTATTTGCAAAAATAATTTATAATGTCTGGTTTAGTTTTTTACAAAGAATTCATTATAAATCTTTTTATATATATTATTATTTAAACTATAATGATATTTGATTACACTTCATTTAAAAAATTTTAAAAATAATAATTATTCTAACATTTATTAATAATTTATAAATAAATATAAATACAGTAAAGATAATTTGATCTTTTATATAATTATTAATTTATTTTTTGTAAATATTAAATATAAATATATAATCAAGTTTAAATTTTTATGTGTATAAATTTAAATGTGCGAAAATCAAAATCTTTTTTAAATACAATATTTTTATTCAATAATTAAAATTAATTTTTAAATTTTATATTTTATAAATAAATATAAAAAAAACAAAAATTAATGCATTTTTGAAGAAAATAAGATATTTAAGAAGAAAATATAAGTGAAAAAATAGAAAAAAAATAATATTAAATTTAAATAAACTTGTCTAATTATTAAAAAAAAAATCTAATTAATAATAAAATAAAAAAAATGATTATTGAAATAAATTCAAAAATTACAAACAACTTAATATAATTTATAAATAATTAAAATAAATCTAAATAATTAAAGAAAAAAAAATAATAAAAGTTTTTAAAGGAAAAAAAAAAATTAAAAATTAAAAATTAAAAATTAAAAAGGAAAAAAAAAAAAGAAAAAAAAAAAAAAAAAAAAAAAAAAAAAAAGAATAAATACCATAAATAAAATAAAATAAAAAAATACAAAAAATAAAAAATGAAATTCTCTGTAAAAAAGTAAGATTCTTAAGAAGTTTCTTCAACAAATATGCAATAATAAATGAATTAGCTAAAATATAATTTATAAATACAACCCGAATAATAAAATTATATAAATTAATTATTCTTAATAAATAATCAAAGCATTATGAATAATATATTAGAAAACGAAAATTCGTTTGATAAATAATTAAAAAATATAAATACTTTTAATAAAATAGAATTGTAAAAATGCTATATTAATAACCTTCCAAACAATATTTAATTACAAGATTTTAATAATTAAGCCTAATAAATAGATTAAAATAATAACTAAAATATTATTAATAATAGTTTATAATAATAAAATATATTTTAAAATATTATTGATGAATCTTTAAATTATAAATATGGCTTAGAATGTGAAAAATAACTTAGCTTTATAAAATTTGATAAAAATAATTTCGGAAACATTTTAAATAGTAACAATTTTTAATTACCTACTTCAAACATTTTATAATCCAAATAATAATTGAATAAAAATATTATTTCTGAAACTGCATTATAATAAAAAAAAAATGATCAAAAAAATTTAAACTTAGAATATACTAAAGAAAAATAAAAAAGAAAAGAAATGTAAATAACCCTTATAAAAATTACTAATACCCTTCCTAAGTAAAAAATTAAATTAGAAAACAAGTACTTAAATGTTTTTTTAAAAATTGTCAAAAATTAATTGATTAAAATAAAAACACAATATCTTAAATTATATCTGTTGAAGATTATGAAAAAATAAAAAACTTACTAAATACTGGTCTTTATATGATAATCCTCTAAAAAGATATGATATTTCTAATGATGAATACAAAATATTATGCTAGGATTTTAATATAGACCCAAATATTAAACCTTTATGTAAAAAAGCAATTGATGATTTATTTTATTTTAGAAAAAACTCAATCATTAGTCAAGAAGGAGATAAGTTCAATAAATTTTGTGAAGTTATAAGAATTTTATTCTAATAGTTCAATGAAATGTCTTAAGGCTTTGCAAAAAAATAAAAATAACCGCAAATGAAAGAATACTATGTTGAAATATCATAATAACTATATAATTTAATATTTTTGTGAATTATTATAACAACGATATAAAAAAAATTAAAAATAATATAAATTAAGTTTAACAATATATATAAACATTTAATATAAAATATATAAAAAAAAAATATAGTATATAAAAATATATTAATAATTTATTATATTTATTTTTAATTTATTTTTTTATAATATATATATATATATATTTTTATATTTACTATTTAATTATATATCAAAGATTTTTATTTTTTTAAATATATATTTTAGCTTTTTTCTGATCATGGTTTTAAAATAATATTCACATAAAATCCTATAAAATTTTCTAAATGCTTTAATATTTAAGATTATAGAGTAATCCAATACATATAACAGTCAAATTATTTATTAAAGTTTTATTAAAATAATCATTACTATTAATAAACCATTCAAAAAATTAAATAGAATTATTAGAAACTAAATTTTAAATTTAATAAATTATCAATTCTAAACTTTTCTCATCAATAATTTAAGAATTATATATAATTTAATTATTATTAGCTTATGTCTATTCTATTATTTAAACTATCTTTTATAAATAATTGAAAAATTATTCCTTTAAAAGCTTACTTAAATAAGGTAATATTTTCAATAAAACTACTAGAACTTTTCTTTTAAAATAAGTGTATTTGAATTCTTAATTTTAATCTTTTTAATGTATATTTTGTAAAGCTAAGTTAACATTAAATTGTTTAATTTAACTAATTTTACAAAGATAAGGCATTTAATTAAGGCTACAATATTAAATTAAAGTTTAAAATAAAATCATCATCCATTAGTTTGGATTTTCTATTTAATATGCTTTATAAATTATGTCAAAAGCAGTTAACTAATTATTTCGAAT